GCTTCAACATCACATTCCCCTCATATGTCACTTGTGTGGCCACCCCTGACAGGTAGACTACGTAACAACCAGAAACCCCTTACTCTTACTCCAGTCCAAAAACTGCAAGTTGGCGGTGTCCTTTTGTGTGTTGAATTTCTATAATTTCCTCTCAAATTGTGCGGGTCCAGCAAAGGATCGTTGCATTATGGTTGTGAAACGAGTTCAGGTGCGGAACCATTTGGGATGGCACATTGTGTTCCCATGTTTTGGCTCTTGTTCATGTTTGGTGCCTCATGTTTGTGCATGCTGGTTCCATCCCGTTTCTTGCTCGGTGCGCTGGCTTAAGAGGCCAGTTGAGTGACTAAGAGCCTTACTATCGGCACGTGTGGTTCGACTGTGGAGCTGGTATTTAATGTGCGTGTGAGATATTGATTGGATGTTTTATGGTGACCGGGCCTGGTGAACTATGGACCCGAAAAGGCCCCATGTCCATGCACCGAGAGGGACCACGACATTGGGTCAGCCACAACTTCCATCCGGCAACTTTCGGACCACCAGGATACCCTCATGCTGTGACCACCAGTTGGAGGAAGTAATTACCTTCTAACCCCTTAGTGGTGCGGGTTGCCACGTGCAGTACAGTACCCCGAGAGTCAAATGTGATCTGTCTCGCGTAGCTGTTAGACAGCTGGCGACGCCCAACCGATGTCAGCCGAAGGGACGGTGGCGTGAAGTTCATGCGTCCGACTTTGCAAACGCAACTGACCTCGGACAGCTGAAGATGTTGCATTGCAAGGCTCAGCGAACGGCAGCGACATGGGGGAGACATGTTCAGATCTTTCGATGCTTGATCAGGTTATTGCCACCGCCTTTGACCATGGGTATTATCACATAAATATATATATATAACATTATAACCTAATCATCCCGAGTTCTATCTGGTGCAACAAGTGCGCGCAAATGAACAAGCAGCCAAAGCATCCCATTCAGAAATACAATAAACATCTATAAATAAACATCTATAAACTATAAACCATCCCAGACCTCCAGTTTGGCCACTCCTTTGGCCTTTGGCCTCGCGCTGCCCAGCCTTGACGAAGAGGCTCGTGTTCACCGCGAGGCGGCCGTACCTGGCGGGCGGCCGAACCGAAGGCCGGAGGCCTGCGGGTCCGGTCGAAGGATGACGACGTCGAACGCCAGGTGTGGTGAAGTGTCTCTCCATGTCTTGAAGTTCCACAGCTTCCCCCGGATACATTGGCACCACCGTAGTGGTGCCAAACTTCCTGTGACCAGGGTGAAAGCAAACTTCACGTCTTCACCGTGTTCAAAGGCCCCAAATGACAATGACTCATTGCAGCTCTCCATGCCGAGCCACTGAGAGTCTCCCACCTGAGCAATGAGCCGCCTGAGAGGGCGGCAAAAATCAGAAGAGCTGAGCGAATCAAAGGGCACTACGGCAGGGGGTCAGGGCTCTGATGGATGATGATAGTTAAGCCAGTTGAGCAAAGGCCTTACTACAGCAATAAGAGCACCCTAAAAAAACATGCATTGAAACACCATGTTCTATGACTGCTGGGTACTGTAGGAGGGGGCAGCGGTGGTCAAACACATGGATCAATGTTCTATGATGTTCTATGATGTTCAATCGGTCAAAAAAATGCCTCTGGGCAGTGTTCACCCGGTTTCTACCTTGTATCCACTGGACATGTTTGCATAATATGTCTGCAATGTCTGGGATCCATGCGCCCTGCATAGACTATCAACACTACATAAACAAAGTCCCTGAGTCCCCATTGCATGGAGTACAAGTACCAAACTCACATACGTTTCTGTTGGTTGCCTTCCCGGCTGTGGATTCGATGGTCTTGTTGGTCCAAATCTCCGAGTACCAGGCACTACTCAGCACCAAAAACATCTTCAACTTTCCAGTGCAGGGTGCCAACTCTCCAGACACAAGACAAAACCATTAACAAAAACGGTTAAACCCCCAGTCCACCACCTTGCTTCAAACTTCAAACGCTCGGAGATGTTGGAACAAAAAGGCTAGTCAGTCCTCCCACTCGCTCTTAGTCCTTCCCTTCGGGCTCCACCGATGACCCGCCGGTCTCGCCCTTCGTCGCGCGGCTCGGCGAACTCCTTCTGGAACATCAGCACGGCACAGCGAAAGGCCGGGCGATGTGCCAGGAGCTTGAAGGTGAAGGGAGATGAGATCCTTACGTCTTACGTACGTCCCACGCCTCCGATATTTTAAAGAAGAAAAAAAACATGTGTGCATCCCCAACACCTGATTGGAGTTGAAGTTAGTAGTAAGAGTGGATCTCCACCACCTGATTATGAGATCTGCAGTTGAAGTTGGCAGGTCAATTTAAGCTTGTTCTTTTGTAGTACGAATGGATCCCCACCACTGATTGGCAGTTGTTCCATCTTGTGGGCTTTGTCTTGGAGGATGTGTTCCACCACCCCACCACCAGCTTCAATAATCAGTGTGCATAGATTGACTGATTGGCCAATGACAAATGGTACTGGCTAGGCGGGCAGGTGCCACAGCATTCTCAACCTGCTGAAGAACCCTCTATAAACTCAATCTTCCAACTGAAACACATCTGAAGCATGGCCCATCGCAGCATGATCCTCTCATCTTGCAGTCATGGAACAAGATTTGGTCAGCAAAATGCATTGATCTCCTTACCAAATTAGGTGCTTGAGTTCATCTCTTGAAGGGTCCGGCCACGTGTACCGGGTGTCAAAATTAGGTGTGATGCCAACATGTTGTGGGAGACCAAAAAACATCAAAAAAACCTCCGCATGCTTGGACTCCTCCTCATCTCTGGTGGCTTTCCTTGTCCTCCCCAGATCCAAGGCTCTGGTACGGCAAGTTGGCCACACCTCAGCGGACGCATGGCACCCGGTGCTGGAAGGGGCAAGGCCTTTCGTCCAAAAAGCCGATGAGAGAAGCTGAGGATTTGGAGGCTTCCTCGTTGTTGCAGGCATAATTGCTGCAAACGAAAGTTGCAAAACTGTGGCCATGATTGAACCTTATTGCAAACATCACGCAATATATATATATATATGGTCCACCCACTCGTCTTGGGGCTTCTCTCTGAGATCCTTTCCCAAACAATCCACTCACTTTTTTCGATGGAAGATGATAATGACCCTGGCGCCCCCCAACTCCGTACGTGACGAGGCCTTCTTCTGGTGCTCCTCGTGTGTGTACCGCTACTAACGTCTTCTCTGGCGGGAGGCAAACATCGAAGATGGGCCACTTTTCCTTCAACACGTCACTCTCTCGCACCTGCGAGAGAAGGGACGACAAATCGGACGTGTCCTTCAGGGTGGGATTTTGCAAATGTTGCGAAACAGCTTATGAGACTTCATGGGAAATAGAAGAAGAGTGCCTTATAAAGGAAAGGTTGCCCTCCTCATGCAACGGCATTCACCAAGGACATCATGTTAAGTTTTGCTTAAGAAAATCATCCACCTGAAATCCTCCTGACCCATCTTCACCTGAAGTACAGTCCATTACAGTACCAATTGACCTGATGACTTCAACTTCACCCTCCCACGCACCAGGCCGTTCCACCACGTCGTTCCACGGCGCTGCGCCCCACGCCTCGAGGTTGGTGCGCCCCGTGCCGCTGCAGCGCTTGCGCACCTCCGCGGCCATGCGGGGATCGATCTCGCAGGCGATGACCCGCTTGCAGCCTGGGCTCGGCTTAGCTCGGCTTGGCTCGGCTTGGCTGCTGGGCTGCTGGGCTGGGTCCAGGCTGTGGACATGGGTGGATGGCTCAGTGGTTCGGCTCTGTCGTTTGGGCTTTGGCGTGGGAGCGGAGATGAAAGTAAGAACGGCTGGGCAAAACAATCGAACGGCTGGGGCGTTTGGTGATGTTCGGGGTGTCAACCACACCATCATCGAGGCAGAGATGAACCAAGATGCTCTCGATTAGCTTCACCGTCAGGTTTCCTGCGGCAAAGCATCAGCTTTCTGTTCACAAAACTGCATTGATTATATAAATGGATACAAACACAACCGTGTTCATAGATCTTTGTTACGCTGTGAGTAAAGCTAACAAAACTGACCATGATTATACATACAATTGCTGTACATACATTGCAGAACCAACTTCAATTCCATCTGCCTCTCTCTCCACTCACGCTTCTCCCGAGCGTCTCTCATCCCTCCTGTGCCGGGACCAATCTCAAAAGCCACATCTGACGGCTTCAGTTCAGCCGCATTCAAGATCTTATCCACGATGCCCGGGTTTCGCAGCAAATGCTGCCCTCAGCAGTCGTCAAAGCTGAGGCCAGGGAGAGGATTGTGATGGGTTTGTGTGCCCTGATCAACGTCTTTTTCCGTTTGCAATGCGAGTCAGTTGTTCATTTTTCGGGCATTGGAGCACTTGGGGCAAATCGAGGGCTTCAAATACATTGACTCGAAGCTATCCACTTCCCCCTGTCAATCGTGAAAGCCGGCTGGGCTTAAATTGCTGATCACCACACAATAGTGGGGCCACTCACCTACCGCATGAGGCTTTCCACAAGCCTAGTTCGTTGACGGCTGGAGGTGACAATCCAAACAAATAGTAAATAGAGTCAACAGTGTCCAAGTTTCCAATGCTTCTTTCAAAATCTTTCAAGGTTTGGTACCACATACCTCTATGGGGCCTCCAGTGCTCTGCATGCTACAACCTCATCGCACAATATCGCACATACCATCCAAGCAGCCAAACTTCTTGTTGGTCACCAAACCTCCTGATGAAGTGCCCGTCGCACCAGCAGGCTTCCGACTGTCAGCCTTTCCCTGGCACCAAGGATCGCTCAAAGCGTTCAGAACTTCAGAGTTGGCAAACCTGTCCCTGACTGCGACAAATTGGTTGGACGTACGGCAAATCACCAGCGTTGGTTTAAGCCAATGCACAAGTCAGCCATAAGACAGATCTCCCGGCTTATCCAGCCTTGCTCTACCCTATTAGACAAGACTTCTTGTCACTACTGGTGCCCAGTAGCCATGTTTGACATCACCAATCCCAACATCTTGGAGCCGAGGATGGTCCGCTCCTCCCTGTCCAGGACCAGGCATGCGCTGCGCTTTCCCGGACCGTCGCCTTGGCCGCCTTCTTCTTGAGGTTTTGCTTCTTTACTTTTGGCATGGCAGTTGCCCTAAAGAATGTGCCGAGCTGGCCCAAGCTTGATTCTTTGGTTGCGGTACCAAGTTCCCAAAAGCAAACGGAAAACAACTCATGTGCTCCCACCTGCCAAGAGGAGGTCATCAATCATCTCTGAACTTCGGAAAGACTTGGTTCATGGCAACTTGCTCTTTTGGGTGATTGCGCGCTCCCAAACACGTGAGACTGGCATACGTTCAGTGCTTCAACCGCCCAACCGCCTCACACCATGTTCAGCGACTGCCAACAACCCCAGAACCCAAAGGATGTTTACTGTATTATAAGTCTGATTGCATCTGATTGCAGCCTTATAGACTGGAGAACCAAACGATGGGGACCTATATGATCTAGGGATCGCATCGCGCACAAAATCACACCAAATCTACTTACTGTAGTTCACTGAATCTGTGGCGAATCGCTAGCCTCGAAGCTAGCCTTGAAGGATGAACATAAATACGGTTCAAGCAGTTCATGCGCAAGAAGTGGGTGTGTTTCGCTCCCTCAAAAATGGCAAATCTGGTGGATCTCCTGAAACTCCAAATACAACGATTGGAACTTCTCAAGCAATAAAATTAACCATGCTTTTCCTTGCGTTCATTCGCTTTGGCATATTACTTCCAACAGGAAAATTCCTGAGCCAGTGACGGGTCGAGCGATTGTTTGCAAGATCTCTTTGTCTGTTCACTCAGTCAACTCAGAAAGTGGAACGAGTTGTCAGGAACTCCAGATTGAATGGTCTACTCAGGTGACAAACTGCCCTCCCTGTTCTCATCAAGTCGTGACCCGCTTGCAATCTTTGAGATGTTCGCAGCGTAAGCACAGGAGCATCCGGGTCACTTTAAAACTTTAAAGCTATGTTGGAGTCTTGCTGTCGTAGTGCTTCAGTGAACCAAGCAAGGCTATGCGGCAGGCCATGGCTATGCCAACATACAACCCACGTACATAGTATAAACGAGTATGTGCTTGGACTTCCTCTGGCTTTCTGAGGCCAAGTGATCAATCCCAACATATTGTGCAATTCGGTGACATGCAAAATACGGTCCAAAGACAGTATGTCCAAAGGAGATCAAAGGAGTTTGGGCTCTCAAAAAGGACACCGATACTTGCCACGTCCACGTCGTCCACGGTCGACTGAAGCTCCGACCGACCGGTGCCTTTGGGCGTCGAGCGGTTGCTGCCGGCCGAGCGGTGGCTCCTCGGCGCGAGACGCGAGACGCGCGGCACGGAGTTCGGTGGCTGAGTGAAGCGGTGTGGACCTGGTCCATGGTGGCAAAGCCAACAAGTGACTGGGGGATGGGAACCAACTCTATCTCCTTCTCATCAACATCCCTTTTGAAGATGTTGGAGGAAAATGGGGACAATGGCAGATAACCCCGTCACAAGAGACTGTCAGACTGGAGGATGGGGAACAATGTATTTCTTGTCGAGATTTCTGGAAAGCACCTCGACGGAATGCCTGGCTTGCCCTATCTTGTGTCTGGAAACTCAAGCACTGATGCCCCCTTGCGATATATTAGGCGCCCATATATAATCGGACCAATTTACCACTGTGAACGTGAGTTGTATATGATTGAACAATGCTCGGACTGAGCCAGTGATGGTGCAAATGTCTGTTTTACCCTCTATATACCACCAAAGCAGAAATAAAACCAACACCTGCCAAAAGAAAGAACATTGCTTTGACACAGCGAGCATGCAAACAGCACCTTCCAAAGCTCACGTTTTTGTACAAGTTCTTGAACATGATACTGTTTTTCCCCTTGAGGGGGCTACGGGCCAATCGTGCTAAAACTAAACTTGATCTTCCAGCCAAGAACTTCCAAGAACGCCCCTCGACCGGAATCGTGCTCAATCTGGGCCCCCGAAACGGCTGAGCCAGCTGGAGGCCGTCGCCTCTGGACCAAATGAAGGAGGACAAAAAAAGAAAACAAGGCCAAGCTGCATACTTTTCAGGTCAACAACCACGGCCCTACAAAGGTCAAGCAGCCCTACATAGCCCAAACAAACCATTGATTCTACAGCCCTACAAAGGTCAACACTGGGTATTGTTCGGGTCCCATGGACGATCAGGAGATGTCGAGAAAACGAGCTACCCAGCGTCGCCCCAGCGACGCCTGCATCCACCCTGTCGAACTCCTCATCGAAGATCTCCCGCTGTGCCTGGCAAGCTGACGGTATGGCGTGGCACAGCGGTATTGCTGCTTGCCTCCCAGGAAAAAATGGTGTACCAAGGCACCTCCAGTCCTAGGAGAAGGCTGAGCACATACCATCATGTATATGTATAGGTCCAGCAGGTCTTTTGAAGTGGGATCAGGTGAAACAACTGCTTCACACAAGATGTAGGGGTGGCATAATGGTTTTCTTATGTCTCTCTGTCGGGAGGTTATTGAGGTATTGAGCATTCTCCTTATTTAGACCATTTGGATCCATTTGGCATACACCCTTGTATGGGCTCTGGAGTCTATGTGTAAAAGACGTCAATCTCCAAAACCCAGAACATCATCAGAATCATCCCTTGTGACCTTGTGTGTCCCTGCGATCCACCCAAGCACATGGCACATCCAAACCAAACCAGATTCCAGGACATATGAATACATATGATACAGTATACCAGTGTCCCAGCTCGGGGGTGCATTGAACATCATTGAACCGAGGACTGGAAAGCTTGGGTCCGTTGGGCTTGGGAGTGGCCGCTGTGAGATGGTAGTCCCGACATACGTGCCATCACTTCACCACACTATCTTTACGGAGGTGTCATGGGCTGTGGTGAGCATCCAAACCATTTGGAGAGGTCCTAGGTGCGCTTGCCAACTCGGCACTGCTGGCCTGCCGGATGTTCGCCAGGTACTTCTCCTTGGTAGCTCCGTGAGGGCGCAACCCTTGCGATTTGTTCCTTAATGTTTGGCAATGGTTGCAACAACCTAGGTGCATGCATCTAAATTAGAAACACATAAGAAGCAAGTTCTAAAATTTAGTGTGTATGCAGTCAAACTGAGGTCGGTACGATGATAGAAAATGCAACCAATCCCAATCATTGTTGGGGAGATTCAGGCACGGTACCTCAACCTACCTCACCTAATCTTACCAACCGTATATAGTATGCATCCGTTTTGCCGTTCCCAATCCATACCTACGACAATCCGCACACAAACACAGTCACCATCCGCACACCGGTTGCAGGCCGTGTGGGCTGTGTCCATCCGCACGAGCCGCCGTTCAGACGGTGTCGGCCGAGAAGCAATGCGGCGCATGCCGGCGTGCGCGTAGCAGGCCGCCACCAGCTTCACCGCCTGGGACCGGTGAAGCGTGACTGGCTGGCCAGCGGAAGCCGTGACTGACTGGGTGAGCCGACCACGACCACAATGAGCCAGCTTCTACGGTAAGTAGAAACGTGCTATAAATGTAACGTGAATCTTGTGAAACATATCCAAAGAACAACAACAAAAAACAGGACCATTGTGAATTCCGGATTCTGTGAGTTTCGGACTTCTATGGGGCCTTGGGGCCTGCAGTAACCTGGATAAAGGATCGTCTACATAAATCATCAAATATAAACATGATAAACCGAACCCCAACCATACAAGAGTGTCGAATGGGTCTCGGAATCTATGGGTCACATTCTTCTGCGTGTTTGTTCGGGGCTTGTTTGGGCTCTGAGGTCAGTGGAGGTGAGGGTATGCTGTGCTTGTACCTGTGGCCCCGTCCACAATGTGAAGGTCAAAATCTAGGGTTCTTCACAGGACATGTCTGTATACAGATTACACTAAGTCACTAATTACGCACAAGATGGACAAGGTAAGATTTGCATATGTGGCGAGTTTAGGTTTGAACACCAAGACCGTGGAGAGAGCCGAGGCCCCTAGGCTCGATTGCCCAAAACACCTGAGGTCTCGGGCATTCTCCCTTACATCCGCGTTGGCATTGCCAAACCTGGGCTGACATGCTGCATGCTCAGGATTCAACTCGCGGCACCTGCTACATCCGAATGGGGATCAATGGGGTCTATATTAGGCTCACTATTAGGCGCATATAACAATACTTTAGGAGTTGCATGTGAACCTACCAAATAACTGCCGTTCAAAATCGTTCAAATGAAAAAACGAGGCAAAGGGAGTTGAAGCGCCACCGGGAGGGGCCTTCCATCTGGAAGTTCACATAGAACTCCACACTTCACCACCAGTCGCCATCTCAATCGCCCTGGAGCCCGGAGCCCATGGGCCGCCCAGTCCCCAATGGCGCCAAGAAGCCAATCCATGGCTAATTGGACCGTGGGATCTAAAGGCAACCCCTCCTTGCTCTCTGGCTGAATCCCGGCCTACATGCAGATGCGGCATGGATGCGACATGCCAGCGGATGTCATGCACGAAAGTGACATCCACTTCCCTCCACATATGTGCAAACAAGGTGAAAGTCAGTGGAAGTGTTCTTGCTGCAGCACAGCAAAAGAAAACGAAGAAACAAATAACGCCATGCAGGAAAAAAATAGAAAAACACATCCATGAGCCGAACAAATGGTGCTAGGGCCGGCGGCCAGGGCCATGGTCGGCTCTATCAGATCCAATGAGCCGTTGGGCCTCGGTGACCATGGAAGCCAAGAGCTGCAAGCGGGCGATGTAAACCTTAGGCGGCTGTCGGGTGGATAGCGTAATGGGAGATACAACTTGATCGAGGGGTCAATTGGTGGCAAGGTGATTATATAACTGCGAGTGTTTCAAAGGAGTCAAGATTGGATAAAATTGGATCGTGAATCGTGGGCTGCTCAAGCCTCACTAACATGTTGTTATCAATTGCTCATTTTCTTTGCTGTTCTGAGGTGACAATGATACAACCATCCCGGTGCGGATGAACCATTCCCAACCCATTCGTATGGCCGTGCGATGACCCGACGGCACGACCGGTGACTCGGAGTGCGCATGAAGCTGCGCTGGACGCGCGCATTGGAAGCCACTGCCACTGCTGTGGTCCCTGACACGTGGGTTCACCGACTTCTTCTTGATGGGCCTGACCAAATGGCTTGGGGATAACGAAGATGGCTTCCGTGGAATGAGGGTGTGGAACAGTTGGGCTGAAGAGATTCATATGGTTTTGGTGGTGAAACTGGCACAACTAACAATTATATATATATTGCAACCGCACTCGCTAGCCTAACTTCTCGAACAACCTGGAACATCCCCAATCACCGAGATACAGTACCCTACAAGTCCTTAACTAACCCCAGTCCAGCTGCAAAGGCTCTGCATCAAGTAACCCCACTAATAAATGTGTCTAGTGTCATGACCTGAAATAAATTCACTACACAGGGTCCTTTGGACAATTCATGGTGTGGCCACTGAGTAACTGAATGAGTACTCACCCGGCTCGGCAAGAAGGATGGCAGCCTATCGAAATCACCAAAAGGAATCACAACGATGGACCTATGACCTGTTGATGAGAGCGTGTCATCCTTCAGTAAGTCAATCGGTCAAAGAAAATCAAAAGCATTGTTTTACTGATTGACTCACTGCTGAGATGACATGGCCATCCATCATGATCAGCTCTCGCCCCACCTCAGCAGTTGCTGAGCGGTGAAGGCAGCGCCTTGGGACGACCAAAATGGTATCCGCACGAAACGGGTCTGTTTTTGAATGGGAGAACGGTGCCAGCGCATGCCGGTACCATATACTTGTTTGAACAAACAGTGGTAAGCACGCTGTGGGAAGTTTCCACTGAAATGGGCATGAACCAGATCAGCCCCGTGATCGGTGGCGATGCTTTGTTCAAACCCAAGACCGCTTCCGCATCCGCAGGTGGTCTTGCCCATTTTCTCCATTCAATTTCCTCCGTTTCGTTTCCAGTCCATGGATGTTGAGCTAAGGTCTCTTCGCGTATCTTCTCCGTATTGAAAGTCACTGAACGCATCCGAACGCCAACCATCATGGTGGATGACCTGACTAGATGGCACAAGCCTCACCACTAAAATTGGGTGGTTTATGATCCATAATTACATTATCTATATATCAAATTCTGTATTTAAATGAAACAAATTAATTTAACATATTTGTTAATATTAACTTGAGAGAGGAGGGGGTGAACGAAAGGTAGCAGGCAATCACAAGTAACCCAGGTAGAAGTCCATGACGGCGTGAACCGGCGCCCCCTCCCCCGACGAACAGAATCATCTCTTACAGGACCAAACTCAATGCACAATCCCAACTCCTGATTGTAATACATTTTTGCTAAAGCAAGGAGAACTCAGGTAGCTCAAGCTACCTTTCGTTATATACTTCTCCAATAAACAGGAACTCTTTAAGATCTTTAAGGATCTTTAAGGTAATTACCTTGTGTGATGCTCTTATGGTTTCGCCGAGTTCTTTACCCCAATCATGTGCCCCGGACCAAACCCGACGATCCCACATCGCCTAGGCTGGGACATCGCATGAGGTCGCACAAGTGTGCGTCCCTGCACCGGCCAGGTGCATGAGTCCGGAACGGAGACAGGGCTTGTGTTGGTAACGCTGCATGATTTCAAGAACAGGCCTCTTATTTGGTTGACTTCTTGACCAATTCAATCCGACACATCATCTGAAGTGAAACTATTTTTGATGTTTTTTGTGTTGGGGATGTTTCCTCGCCCAAACAGAATAGTGATTGTTGGACTGCTACGGTATGGGGTCAGGGTTTGACCTCGAATTATACCAACATTTGTGAATTGAGCTGTTGCTCAAATCTTCCATTTCAATACGTGTGATACTGCAACCTCACTTGCCACACTTTCTCTCTTGCCTGGCTGTTGATACCCTCCACCTCCAGCTGATATTTGTCCCCTGAAATTTACACATTGTACTTTTAGAGGTGAGGTTTACCATCAACCTCTCTACAAATAAAGCATCACACCAAATATTCGTTTCAACCACAGTCTCCCCTTCTCACTTTCTCATGTTCCTTTCCCTTCCGCCTCGCAGCCTTGTCCACCCGCGCCTCAGGCAAAAAAGGTCAAACATGTGCGGTGCATGGAGAACAAGGGACTTTGATCAAGGTGGAGTTTCAACTCCAAGAAATCCAACTTCTGACGCTTCTGGCTGTGTCCTTTTGCGCTCCGCTGCTCATCTTACCACGGCCACACAGGCCTTGGCAAGCCTCCGGCTGCACATCACACGACTCCATGCAGCAGCGCATGCAGGAAGATACCCGACCTGCATCATGGAATGTCAGGAATACCACTGACAGCCCAAGAAGTGAATTGCTGCCATGTCAAGCCCTTCGGCCTCGCCCAGCTGCCCCAGGCCAATGAACATCTGGGCCCTGGGCACCTTCTTAGTCTGTTCTTGCGGAGGGGAGGCTTTAGCACAAGCCTCCTATATAAAGTGACTCTTGCAGGAAACGGCAGGTTTGCGCGTCTAGAGTTTACATGTCTGTCCGTTGATTCCATGCCAATGCAACAATTGAATTGACTGAAACCACTTAACAAAATGCGAAAGGCACCTTGAGCAAGCTGCCAAAAAAGAAGGAACACTTGTGTAACAATCGCTTTCCGTCACCAACTTGCGCAAAATTCTTGCCCCAAACCTCACTGAATGCCATCAAATGCATCTTAAAAAAGGAATAAAAAAGGGACAAAAAGCGCAGCTTCGCACCGCATGAAATACCTCTCCTTGTTCCTCGCGATCCCTTTGCCGCTTCTTGAGACCAACTCCCCGGGCCCCCACAAGCCGCTAGCCCTCCAAACAAATACAAACAAACACAGAACAAACCTCTGTTCTTCAGCAGGCTTCCTAGGCAAACATATAGATTGTAGATCAATACCATTTATAGAACGGGGCAACTGGCGACTCCGTGAGTCTGAAGATGTGTTTCATCTTCTTTCACCTTGCTGCTTCGCCTTCGGCGGAAGCTATCGAGAACACACGAGGGCACCTGCGATGCCCGCAGAGGTCGTCAGAAGTCGGCCAGCCAAAACCACAAATTCTCGGGGTTCATGCCCAAATCCTTCAACGTCTCCTCTGACAAATCCTGGAACATGCCCAGGCCTTCCAATTCAGGATCCAGGTCCGGGTCCTGGGTCTGTCGAGCAGCAATCGATAGATCCCTTCCACTGCGCAGCTGGCCTCGCAACGTCCACGGAGTAACTGCGACTTCATCAGTGTCGGGGAATTGTTCCCTCTTTGCCTGTGCTCGTCGATAGAGTTTCGCCTCAAATGTTGTGGTCACCAGCTCAAACTCCCCCTCTTCAATCCACCAAGTCCACTGTGTCAATGGTTTAGTTTTTTGCCCGTCATCATGCAGCCACCGGTCATCGTCATCATTGGGATAACATTTTCTCCTCCTCAAACAGGTGCCGTTGTGAAGACACAACCAAGTTATCGGGCCATTCTGGTCCGCCTCATGCCAAAGAAAACCATCGTTCTTGGGGTGTGGACAGCTAGATGGGAGTTCCTCTGAGGTGAGCACTGACTGCAGCATCTCAAACGCTTCTGCCCCAGACTTTGTCAAAGGATCAAATGTTGGCTCTTTGCTGGGTTCCCTGATGCCGTTGCACACAGGATCATCCCACACATAGGAAAAATGCAAGGACACATCCCAGGCTGAAGCTTCTTCCACTGCTGCTGCTTCGCTAGTCTTCTCTGACTTTCCAGCAGCTGCGCTTTGCAATGGTCTTTTCTGCTTCTCATGGTTTTCTTGAGACTTCATTTCCTGAATCTCCTTCACGACCTTGGTCGCATCGCCAGCGCATTCGAGGAATTTGAATTTCTCCCTGTTGGAGCCTGTAGACAAGCGGCAATGAATCAAGTGTTCCAGCCACCCTCCTAGCAAAAACTCATTTACAATGATCGCCATGAGCTGCGCCCGGGTGATCGTCTGATAAAGGGAAGATCGGGTGTGTAGATCACAAGTGCCACCTGCACGCGTGCGGCCATTTCATCGGTGCACTTGCATCGGTGCGCTTGGAACCCGGCAACCTACAAAAATTCTACTGTAGACTTCATGAAGGCCGTCCTGCAAAAAAACTCGGAAGAACGTTTTGCACGAGCACTGGGCATGCTATAATCCTACAAGAAGGAGGGAGGGTGAGGAGATTATGAATGGAATGAAATACCCACTCTTGATCCCTTTTACTGAAATACACAGGCAAGGCACGTCCGAAGAAGCAGGGCAGGCCGGGCAGGCAATCTCTCTACCTCTCTGTCTGGTCTCATGCTTCAGTTCTACTTTGTTTCTTGCTTCGGCATGATGCGTATCCTCTCTCTCTCTCCATTGCCCTCTCCAAGAGTTAGCCATTTGGCTAAGGCGAGCTCAAGCCCAATTTTCGGAAGGTGTGATAAGACAGCCATCTAGCGTCTCGACGCGTTTCCTGAAACAATCAATTTGGCTGATGGTAGCAAGCGTGCTGAATTGGAAATCGTCCCAGTTCATTGGGTCTCTTAAAAAAAGAAGAAGAAACATGTTATGCATTGTTCCCAAGCCTTGAACACCAATCCTCGCATCCATTCCAACCGAAATAACAATGATTTCTTCGAGCCCCTTGGCATTACTCACGGAATCCAGAACGATGCACTCCTCCTTGGAGTTCTCCACAGTACCCGACGACATCACATGAGACAACGACTCCTCAAAGTCAATGAGGCGCAAATCCTTGTACGTGATCTTATCTCGGAGCACATTCTCCAAAAGGGGCTTGAATTTAGTGAGAAAATCAGTATTCGGCACAAGGATGGCCACGCAGTGGTGAAGGCTCAGGCGCGGATATGATGAGATCACGTGCAAAAGAGCAGAAAGGGTGTGATGACAATAGTCTTGGAATGGTGGCGAAAACATATCTTCTTTTGGCTCAAAGAAGAAGGTCTTCAAAGGCGGACCTGTGCAGCTCAAGGAACTTGCATCATTGGATAACTGCTCGGAAAGCAACTGAAAGGATTTTGCCCCGAGAACGACTCGCTCCGTACTGCGCACCACCTGGCTCAGGTATGCTCGCAGAAATTGGATTTCTTCAGGATAGTTCTGCTCCATGGCCGCCGACTGGGACTCGTCTGAAAGGAGGATCCTCTGCTTGGAGCTGTTCACAAGAATCTCTCTGAGCACACCTTGTTCAACATCTGGGCGGAAGATGTCGTGAGCCTCGTCTACAACTGAAAGCACAAACTGGATGGCGGTGGAGCCTTCATCTTTTGCAAGTTCTATGCGAGTGCCTTTGAGGCTAGCGGTCATGATGCTGGTGTAGGGCGAATGCATGAGCCTAAGGCGACCAAACAATTTCACCACATCTTCCTGCCCGAGCTGTTCTGCTTCGTCACTACCATGCATTGCCAGGAGCCACCGCAGGAAATGCAAGCACAAAGACTTCGAAGGAGCTGCGAAGAAGACTAAACCTTCCTCATTTGCACTCAAGGTCTGCAAAACCTTCCGAATGGCGACAAACGTCTTGCCTGACCCAGCTGCTGCTGACAGGTGAAAGTCGCCGGGTCCATCTAGCTCTCTCACCTTCTCCTCTTGATGTGGCGTCAGCTTCGTGGAACTCATCAGAACTTCCTTGTAAGCTTTCACGAACTCAGTCTTCTCGATCTGCACTTTCATATTCCTCAATCCAAAGGCATCTGTGTTGGTGACCTTCTTCTCCAAAGCACCAGAGAGCACTGCATCGCACAATTTCTTCAAGGCCTCCACATCGCTGCTTTGAATGTCAAATGTCATTGCCGGAATGTCATTCTGGAGCATCTCCTGCCGAGGAACTGTTGTGAGCACTTCCTGGCCATCTGGAAGACTAGCAATCAAAGCCTCAAGGAAGTCTTTCTTGCCCAACTTGTCGGCAAACTCCTGCATTGCGGCAGTCTCATGTCGAACACGGTCTGTTCTGAAGACTTGCCCGGTCTCCTTGCACCGCACGTCCCATTGCAAGCCATCATCTTTGTGAACTCTCTGGATGACTCCTCTTTTCCATTCATGCTGATCCCACGCTGCAACTGCCTGCCCGGGAGCAAAGGAATCCTTGAGGAAGTCAGAAACATCCAGCTTCTCGTAATCCCAAGGATCACCATGTCGCTCCTTCATGGCATTGATCATGGCCACTTCGGCCTTCTGAGAACCGCCCAGTCCTCTCTTTCGGGGGTCCGGATCCCAAAGAGGCACATTTGGATCCTGTAAGTCCTTCAGGGTCACCTCACCCTGCCCGACCATCCCTGGATAATAGACCACTCGGAGTCGCTGGCCTTGTTGCACTGCTTTGTCCATGTGTCCGAACCACACCTTAGCTACAAGGCTCTCCATGCGTCTCCATAGACATGGTTGATGTCAACGCCACAATGGCAAAAAAGAAACAAAAACACACCATGTAATGTCAACCTTTGATTTATCGGTAGGGGCCCCCCCCCCTGAAAGACCTCAAATAGACTTAAGCACTGTTTTCAACTGTTTAGTATTGGTAGAGACTTTTCCTTTAGTATAAAAATCTATAAAGGAAAAGAATAGAAGAAAGGAATCCATTGAGGACCCATTGATTCAGCAGGAATCCTCACCAGGATCAGCCAGCAGGAATCCTCACCAGGATCAGGGGGTCCTTAGATGTATTTAGGGTCAATCTTTATTTTGTACTTGGGCCCTCATGAGGGGTACCCTTGCTGAACTGCTTTCATAGCTTTGTTCAAGATTTTCCCGAATGCGTAGCGAAGGGTTCCCGTTTATAGTTGGGGGTCTGGGGGTTGGAGCTGTGTTTGCATGGCTTGCGTCGTCTCGTCGTCTGTCGTCGTCTCTCGTCGTTTGTCGCCGTTTGTCGTCGTTTGTCGTCGTTTGTCGTCGTCGTCGCGTCTCAAATTTGCTGCCATTGGGGGAAGCTTTTGCAGGTGACTTTTCATGGATGTGTCACGTGTCAGTTTGCGCCGCTATTCCATTATGATTTGCATGACACCAACATGTCGCGCAAGAAACGTGATGCATTTCGCTGCACAGGCGCAGCGTTTTGTGAGATCCGCAGATTGCTGCGCAGTTCCATTGAGATTAGGGTTTGGAGAGTCGTGTTTTTGGGGTGTTGGATGTGGCCGTGCCATTGGGATTTGCGTTTCAGGGTGTGGCATCGAAGCTCGGTTTTCGTGACAAGTCTCAGCTGAAATGGCGATTTTGGTGGATGGGAGTGTGCTCAGAACGGGTCGAAATCATTCCAAACGTGCACTTAGATGGGCCTGGTCGTTACTAGTGTGTTATGAGGGTTACAGGCATTAGCTAGTGCCACTATGAGGCTTTACAAGGGTTAGCTAACGTCTCTAATGGTATACCCTTAAGACCACTTTTCAACAGGATGTTGTTGACATTTTTTCTGTAAAAATTGTCAACATAATTTCAAAATGAGCATATATAAATGATTTCAAATTGCTTGTTGCAAGAAATTGCACAAAAATCTGGGTGCGCTTTTCACTGAAAAACTCAAAACATGTTTGCTTTTGAGCATGAGCCTTGGCTGGCAAGTGAAATTGAGCCTTTCCTTGGCAATTG